TATTTACATATTATTTTTATATTTATATTATTAAAATATATATTATTAACATATATTAGATATTTTAATACTATTTAGTGTTATACTTTATATATATATAATTTATAATTATTATTATTAATTAATATTTAAAACGAATAATTTGATTAAATATAGATCATTTAAATAGATCATATAAATATAGATGAACAACGAAAAAATGAGCAGACTGAAACTAAAGCAGAAAAACCGAGGAGTTGGCCGACAATTTGGCAGTCGCTTCACTCATGCATTCCTGCGGAAGACACACGGCGGTGTCAAAGAGGAGAGGAGAGCTTAAAACACATGGGTGTGAAGACGTGGGAATGAAAGAGAGCATTTTATTATCCCGAGGAACGGTCGCTCTGCTGACCTGACATATATTTATCGTGATTTTGCGGTGAGGTACAGCATGTCTGGAGTGACTCTTCAAAGAACACTACATAAAGGTCAAACGCTTGCACATCTAAAGAAATTCCTCCTTTGAAATGATGTTTTTATTGTAATACAGTATGAGAAGAGTCAACACTCATTTAAGTGTATCATGACAGGATCATAGTGATTTATACAAAATACAACAAAAGTTTTCTTTCTGTGTTGACATATTTCCTGTTGAAAAGAACGTTTGGAGCTTTTTTGAAGGAGCTAATAGTCTTTAGCTTGCATTACAGCCATGAACTATGCTACTTGCCAATCGCAAAAGCTGCAAAAACGTTCTAAAAAGCTCATTTTAAATGTGTATATGTGACCCTGAAGCACAAAAGCAGTCTTAAGTCGCTGGGGGATATTTGTAGCAATAGCCAACAATACATTCTATGGGTCAAAATTATTGATTTGCTTATTTATTCAGCTTTCAGCTGATGTATAAATCTCAATTTCGAAAAATTGACCCTTTATGACTGGTTTTGTGGTCCAGGGTCACATATTTGCTAAATATCTTTTAAGAGTATTCTAGCATACAGATGTTAGCATCAAATCTAACAAACATGGACTAAACACTTCAAAAAAGTTCTAAAAAGTTTTTAAAAGCCTATTTAAAATGTGTATTTATGCTAATTCTCTTGTAGGAGTATGCTAACATACAGATGTTAGCCTCAAAGCTAACAGACATGGACTATAAACTTAAAAAAAGCTTTAAAACATCTTAAAAAGTTAATTTTAAAAGTGTCTATATGCTAAATATCTTTTAAAGGTATGCTAGCATACAGATGTTCGCCTCAAAGCTAACATACATAGACTGGAAAATTCAAAACAGTTCTAAAAAGTTTGAAGAAGCTCATTTTAAATGTGTATATACACTAAATATCTTTTAGGAGTATGCTAGCATACAGATGTTAGCCTCAAAGTTAACAGACGTGGACTAAAATCTTCAAAGAAGTTCTAAAAAGCTTATTTTTAATGTGTATGTACATCTTAAATATCTTTTAAGAGTATGCTAACAAACAGACGCTTGCCTCAAAGCTAACAGGCATGGATTAAAAACTTCAAAAAAGCAAAAAATTAAAAAAAGTTTAAAGAATCTTATTTTAAATGTGTATATACACTAAATATTTGTTAGGAATATGCTAGCATATAGACGTTAGCCTCAAAGCTAATAGACATGGATTAAAAACTCTAAAAAGCGTTGACAAAGTTAAAATTTCTAGCTTTAGCGATAGTAACAGTGATGCTTGACTTAGCAAAAATGCTAATGATTAGCATTAGCCCACTCACCTGATCCTCTGACGGGGCACATCTCTGGGATGTGTCCGAGGGCCCAGCAGCGGCCCGTGTCGCAACAGCACTGCATCTTGGTGTACTGACCGGACAGTTCGCTCGCACAGCGGCCGTTCGCTAAAGACGAGAAACACGCACCGACCCGATGATCTGTGAGGCAGAACGAGAGAGGAATCAGAAATGCTTGCTACTGTTTTTGCGTAGTATGCATACTGTAAACCATGTGAATTTCGTCAAAATGAGCAGTGTAAAACGACAGTATCCCACAATGCAATGGGCTCAACTTGGCCTTCCATTTTTAATGTGACAAATGACCTGGAAATAACATCACACATGATGTTTTAACGCTCCTTTTTGACTCAAATTGCCAAAAGTGATGTTATTTACACAAATTTTTAACTCCAAATACCACAAATGCTTTTCTCGGGAGTGCAGTCGCACATCACAGGAAGTCAAGTCCATGCGTGCCCTGTACACGGTCCCCTAGCAGGAAGTTAATTTATGAGGTGAGAGCCTGAGAAGGCCACTGGAGGACCAACAGCATATGGGGTTGAGATAGGACGTTTCGCTCAGTCAAGGTCAACGAGGGGGGCTGGTTGCGATAGGGTGCGTACACTAGGAAGTCAAGTCCATGTGTGCCCTGTACACGGTCCCCTAGCAGGAAGTTAATTTATGAGGTGAGAGCCTGAGAAGGCCACTGGAGGACCAACAGCATATGGGGTTGAGATAGGACGTTTCGCTCAGTCAAGGTCAACGAGGGGGGCTGGTTGCGATAGGGTGCGTACACTGCGACATTAGCATGTGTGAACCATGCGAAAGGGGGTTGAGAGTCGATTAGCTCGGCTAATGAGCCAGCACTCTGCAATAAATCAAGTCCATGTGGAGTAATCTCGGCCAATTACATCGGACATAAGAAACCCTTCATCTGGAGGCTGCAGACCCGGCCTGAGGGGGGCAGGGTGGATTTCGCAAGCGTGGTGACAGGAACGCTGGCTTCAATTGGAAACAGACCTTCTCGAGCCTCAAAGAGAGATTTTTTCGAGTTTGTATGGGGCCCGGCGGTGCATTAACGCTGATTAACGCCAGGCTAAATGACTCCCAACGGCCTGGTTCTGTGAGAAGCAAAACACCAGCCGAGGGGAAACGCAAAGATACCACAAAACTTTTGCGCCTTCTTTGGTTTCTGGCCTGAAACGATGTCTAAATAGCTTGTTGTTGGTTACTAATAGCATGCTTGGCCTTTGGAATAACATGCACTGATGAACTGCGCACAATTATGAAAGTAATAGCAACAGTCAATTTTGATTTCACGTCAACTTTCGAACATTCTCCCATGACGTCGTGCTCCAAAAACCATTTTGGCTTCCTAGAGTCTTTGTTTTGTATGTCAACATGTAGAAAAACACACGGACTGCCCGCATTCTCCACCATGACAGGATCCATATGTAAAGCAAACGTTTGCCGTAAATCCACACGGGTTTCTGGGAACAAATGAAGGCCACGTCAACGCTTCATCCAGGGCAGATATCTCACATTTCTTTATTCGCACCCGGGGACCCGACGGATCAGGGGGTTACGAGAGACTTATGGGGTGGCGGGTGTGAGAAACTCAAGACGGCGTGTATAAAAAGAGACATACACACATATAGAGAAAGAAGGGAGTGTGAGAGAAACGGACAGTGAAGAGAAAAGACAAAGGCGATGCCAAATCAACAGTGCCTCTGCCTCACTGTACTGGAATGTTAGCAGGAGGAAATAGCATCCATGTGACTCTGTTTTCACCGTTGTCCTCTGGCAGCTGATCCCCTTGAGACCGGATGAGACCGTGTGAGACCTGTTCACCAAAAGAAACCAACAAACTCTCTACGTAACCAAAGTCTCAAACTAAAGAAAGACTAGTCTGTCTGGATTGCGAAGGAACGGTTTCCTTTGCGAGCATTTTTAAAGGCAACATGCAACGGCATCACATTTAACTACAATTACATTTGCCTGTGCATGTGACCTTTGTGACGTCAACAAAAAAGACAAGTAATTTTTAAGTGCAGAAGATTTGTACGTAAATTGTCGCATGCATGAATCGAACCTGGATTAAATTTCCAGGTAAATTATTTTTAAAACCAAACATTTTTCATAATGCCAATTTATGCTGAAATTTGTTCTCCATGTGTTTCCCGGAATGTTTTGATGAAAGATTATTTTTCAAAAATCATTATAAGATAAGCATGAATATGACATCTTTTCCCCGAACGATTTTCATTGTAGGAATTTAAATTTGTACGTAAATTGTTGCATTAATTAAATTAACCAAATACATTTCATTCAAATTCAATTCAAAATTTCACACAGCACCGTCTTTTAGTTTCAATCATTCTGAAAATCCTGTGTCGAATTGTGTCTTGTTTGTAAACGAATCTGCGGTAAAATGAAGTGAACAGAGGACCGAGTTCTTACTGACGCAGTCTGGATCTTCATTAAAAATAAAGTTCATCCACTCTTTCCTAATGTTGAGATCAGAAAGAAGGCGATGCAAAGACTGTGTTTTTCCACAGCTTGGCACTGCACAGTGTCTTGTTGTCTTCGGAGCATCTTTAACATTTGGTTTCTGCATAGACCTGCGTTTGTCTCTCTCGTTATTTACACTACATGCTTGAATCGGTGGGCGGAGCTAAACAGGCAGTGATGTAGAAGCAGGCGTTGATCTTCTTCTGCGGAGGCGGTGTTTAGCCACACTATTACATCATAAAGTGGCACATTCCACAACCTGTCGTTTTGGCAGACTGGCTTCAATATAAGCTGTTTTTAGACTAAGGAGAAAGTTTTGAGTTCTGAAACTTACTGGATGTTTTTATAGTACAATGACCTCTTATATGTCAAAAGTTCAAGGGAATTTTGATTTCTCAGTTCATTTCCCCTTTAACAAAAACATGAACGTACAATGAATCATATCAACGAATCAATGATGAACCGACTTTAACTGAAAAATTGACTGTTTTCTATTGTCCTCTTGCATTATCAGCACATTTTCCCTGTTTAACATTGTAAAGCTGATTTGACACAATCTGTATTGTATAAAGCGATATAGTATAAATAAAGGTGACTTGACTTACAGAAATTACACATTTGACCTAAAAAAATACTTTGCGAACTCATCCAGGTTTATTTACATCTTTAAAACAACGGTTCTGTCCTGTTTGCAGTCAAAGATACAGGCCTATATGCACACAAGCACACTTGCCCGGGCTTGAAGGGGTTCACCGCACACAAGTTCATCCCATGAGTCATTCAAGCAACATGAAGCACGGCTCAGATGCAGCCCAGGAGCGCAAGGTACACATGTGCGTGCGTGTGTTTGTGTGTGGATGAAAGAGTCTCACCGACACATCTGGAGCCGTCTGCGCTGGTGACGTATCCCCGCGGACAGGTGCACACGTAGCTGCCTGCGGTGTTGGTACATTCCCCACCGTCGCACACTCCGGATATGGTTGCGCATTCATCGATATCTAAAATACAACACAATGATGCATATCCTGCATTTGTCAAAAGTTTCAAAATGGCGATTTATCAGAAACTGTAGACTAAGTCTTGCAGTAGAAACCAAACAGCATTAACCAAATTAGAGAAGACACATTTTTTAGGAGAAACATCTAAGCAGCAACTCTCATTGGATTCTACAGTGGGAGCAACAATTGAGGAAACCAAGAGATCTCATTTGTGGTTAGTGCTTTTAAACTGGCATCGTCCACCTCCTCATGGTAACGTAACGCGACTACGGGAGCGAACTCAAAGTGAAACTCGACAGATGGTAAAGAGTTTTCTTGGTTTTTACTGCGTGTCGTTCTTATATTTATACACACGTGCAATTACGTTTATTTAGTAAAATTATATGTGGACGTTGTGTGTCGGGTTTGTCGCATGAGATTGAGGCGGGATGTGGGAAGAGCATGATGAGCGATTACGTGTTTGATGTGTGTGTGGAAACCGGGACTCACGGTGTGCCACAGCAGCTGAAAACGGCCCTGCTGAAGTCATAAAAACCTCGGCAAAACTAACCCGCTCGTCAGCGGAGCCCCAAAAGCGGGACTAGACTTTACTCAGGGTGGACGTGGAGCTGTATTGGAAAGGAAACATATGCCATCTCGACAAATGACTGCTGGAGTGTGTGTTCACATCCTCATATGTTAGGAGAACACTACTTTGGGGTTTGACATTTCAGATGCAATTGTTTCTCTGATCAAATGGTTATGTTTAGTTAAACTCTTTATGTAAATAAAGAGAAACAGGAAAAATTAAGGGTGGGGTAAAAAAAAGCATTAAAAATGTAATGTTTATGACACTGTACCCCGTTATTTGGGTTTAAAAATGGTTTAAAAAAGAATGGTTCTAAATAATGACAACATTCCAAGTTCTTATATTGCCATATAACAACTTTTTTCAATTGTGATGTCAAAAAAAAGTTATTTTAAGACAGAATGAAGAACTTAAAAAGGTTTTTACAAGTAGTAAGTTTCAAAGTAAGTTCTTACAATGTCACAGAAGAAACATTAAGTTATAATAAAACCATCAAAAATAACTTTTTCTTATGAAATCATAAAAAGGTTCTTATATGACAAAAGAACCTAAAAAGTTCTTACAATGTCATAGAAGGAACCTTTAAAGTTCTTATAATGCCATTAAAGAACTCCAAGTTCTTATGATTTCATTATGTCATTTAAGAACTTAAGTTATGAAATTATAAAAAGGTTCTTATAACTTAAGAACTTGAAAAGGTTCTTCTAAGTTCTAACTTCCCAGAAAACCCTTTTTAAGTTCTTATAACACCATTAAAGAACTTGATATTCATACGTTTCAAGTTTTAATGATGTCCTTGCAGAACCTTTTTAAGTTTTTCTAATTCCATTAAAATGTTCAAGTTATTATATGATACAATGTCACAATGTCACTTTTTAACTTTTTAAGTTCTTTTAATTCTCGAAGTTTTAGGATATTATAAAAAAAATTTTATGACTTAAGATCTTAAAAAGGGTTTTCTAAGTTTTCGCCGTGTCACAGAAAAACCTTTCTTATGATTTCATAAAATGGTTATTTTATGACTTAAATATAAAAAGGTTTGTCTGAGTTCTTACGATGTCATTGAATAACCTTTTTAAGTGCTTATAATTGCCATTAAAAATTCAAGTTCTTATGATATCATAAAAGGTTCTTCTATGAATTAAGAACTAATAAAGACTCTTCTAAGTTGTTGCGATGTCATAGAAAAGCCTTTTTAAGTTCCTATGATGCCATTAAAGAACTTTAAGTACTTATGATGTCACAAAAAGGTTCTTAAGATCTTAAAAAGATACATCTACTTTTTGTGACATCATATGAACCTAAAAAGGGTCTTCTATGACCTAAGAACTTGAAAGGTTCTTCTACAGCATCATAAGAACTTAGAAAAGCTTTTCTATGGCATCATAAGAAAGGCTCTTCTACGACATTGCAAGAACTTAGAAGAACCTTTCAAGTTCTTATAACGGAACAGATGATAAACTATAACTAACCTGATGTGAAGGCCTATAATATAACAGTAAAAATCTCCAAAGAAGCATCTTCTCATCTAAAAAGAGCTCATGACAAATCAAGAACCCTAAATCACAAAATATAAGAAGCTCTGCTAAACCTTAAGTCCTCTATATGTGTGTTTACACGCAAACTCGGATATCCTTAGCATTACATTTTCAGCTTTCTAGAGCTACTTTCTCTGAAATGAGCTCCTGGCTTCTGTAAGTCTCCTCACCACGTCTTTAGAGTCAGAAAGTGCCCTGCAAGCAGTCCGAGATGCCTTAAATCCTCGCCCGGTGCAAGAGTTTTCCACCACACCATTGTCTTTTAATTAAGCGCTCCTCCTCGCCCCACAGAACTACCACCTGGGTTTTTTTCCACCCTCCACGCGGCTTCAAAGAAAACAGAGCAGCACTTTTCCAGTCAACTTCAGCCGTTCAGACTCAAAGTTCAGGGTGTTTTAGTGATCACTCGAGTATCTAATTTACAGAAGTTGAGAAAAATACTTCTTGGGTGAAGCTTGCAGACAGAGGTCTGCTTCTTCTCCAAACCTTCATTTTAGTCATGGCTTTGTCATTCAGGGTCAAAATGTCATTCAGATTTAAACTAATACCCTGAAGGGTTGGGATTCCTTTTGTCTGGCTTACTGGAAGTGTGTTGAATCCTATCGGTTTACATACTTAACTCTTTACTTACAGTTTTGAACGAGAAGTGAAAATGTTGAAACTTGCAGGAAAGAAAAGTCAACAGAGCAGCACTTTTCCAGGCAACTTCAGCCGTTCAGACTCAAAGTTCAGGGTGTTTTAGTGATCACTCGAGTATCTAATTTACAGAAGTTGAGAAAAAGACTTCTTGGGTGAAGCTTGCAGACAGAGGTCTGCTTCTTCTCCAAACCTTCATTTTAGTCATGGCTTTGTCATTCAGGGTCAAAATGTCATTCAGATTTAAACTAATACCCTGAAGGGTTGGGATTCCTTTTGTCTGGCTTACTGGAAGTGTGTTGAATCCTATCGGTTTACATACTTAACTCTTTACTTACAGTTTTGAACGAGAAGTGAAAATGTTGAAACTTGCAGGAAAGAAAAGTCACAAATGAGATCTCTCTAATACCTCAGTTGTTTCTCCTAGACACCAATGAGATTAAGCTGGGAGTAAATGGACACTTTTACTTAAGTTCCCAGATGCATCTATGAGAAAATAAATGTGTCTCTCAATTTTTTATAGCGCTGTACTCTTCCTGTATGTCAACAACTCATTTGTGCCTATTAGTATTCCTACTCAGGAATTTTATGACAAACATCTGAGACAAAGTAGATACTCGAATGAGACATAAATCAAGTCTCCATCAAGTTAATGGAGCTATGATAAAAACAACCTCTGAGGAATGTCATTTACTTTAGGTAGGACTCTTTTCATTAAAAGACTGTCTGGAAAAGCGAAATGCAAGCTGTAATCAATGCATTTATAAAACACATTTTAATGAAACCGTAGTGTGAAATAATATTTTTAATACGTTTATTTTATAAAATAGAGCAATAGTGTAAAATAAAATTAAACAGTTCAATAAATAAAATATTTTATTTTAGCTGAAATTAAATGATAAATATTAGATTAGAATTAAATTATAAATGTTGCCTTGTTTATTAACTGAAATAAAATAAGCTGAGGTGCTAATTAAGAAAACTAGTAAATATAATTCAAGTAAGAATATAGATTTAAAATATATAGACTTACAGTGGGTACGGAAAGTATTCAGACCCCCTTAAATTTTTCACTCTTTAACTTCAGCCGTTCAGACTCAAAGTTCAGGGTGTTTTAGTGATCACTCGAGTATCTAATTTACAGAAGTTGAGAAAAATACTTCTTGGGTGAAGCTTGCAGACAGAGGTCTGCTTCTTCTCCAAACCTTCATTTTAGTCATGGCTTTGTCATTCAGGGTCAAAATGTCATTCAGATTTAAACTAATACCCTGAAGGGTTGGGATTCCTTTTGTCTGGCTTACTGGAAGTGTGTTGAATCCTATCGGTTTACATACTTAACTCTTTACTTACAGTTTTGAACGAGAAGTGAAAATGTTGAAACTTGCAGGAAAGAAAAGTCACAAATGAGATCTCTCTAATACCTCAGTTGTTTCTCCTAGACACCAATGAGATTAAGCTGGGAGTAAATGGACACTTTTACTTAAGTTCCCAGATGCATCTATGAGAAAATAAATGTGTCTCTCAATTTTTTATAGCGCTGTACTCTTCCTGTATGTCAACAACTCATTTGTGCCTATTAGTATTCCTACTCAGGAATTTTATGACAAACATCTGAGACAAAGTAGATACTCGAATGAGACATAAATCAAGTCTCCATCAAGTTAATGGAGCTATGATAAAAACAACCTCTGAGGAATGTCATTTACTTTAGGTAGGACTCTTTTCATTAAAAGACTGTCTGGAAAAGCGGGGGGTCTGAATACTTTCCGTACCCACTGTATATGTTAAAATATATAGAATAAATATAGAACTAAAGCTAAATAGAAATAAAAAAGACATGCACAAAACATTTATAAAAACTAAAATTAAACTAAAAATATATATAAAAGACTGCTTTCAGTTCATTAATTCGATTAATTAATTCATTTTAATACAATAAAATTAAATACTTTTACTTAAGAAATATTTATATAAAGAAATACTTAAGAAATATTTATTTTATTTACTATTCAGTTATATTTTCAAGAATATATTTATTCAAAATTCTTATTTTATTTTACACCTATTGTTTTCATTTATTTGTTAATACTGACCATTTTCTCCATTTGCACTACTGTTAATTCACTTGCATTTTGCACCATTTTGGCAATACAGTATTGTAAAGCCAAAACAGCACACTAAGTGGAAATTACATACTGTGGTAGATAAGAAATAACCTCACCCATCTGGTATATAATAGCTGTGATCCACTATCTCTCTTTCTTTATCTCTCTATTTACGTTTTATCTTAATAGTCCTAAAGGGCAGGCTTGGATCCATGAACCGCAGACCCCCACTTTACAACACACCTGTTTGTTTTCACTCGGCATTGTTTAAATTCCACCCAAGCACCACTTATGTTAAAGATGGACCCAAAGAGGAAAATAGTCAACCAGCTAAACCAGGAATATGAACAGCGGCTAGACCATCATAAACCATCATGTAGGCCGATTCCAGGCAATATTCACTGGATCCTCAGATCTGACGTCAACATTTCATGCATATCAGCAACTTGGAAACCTTGCAAACGCCAAGTGTGTGACTCAATTTTTTCCAATTACGAGTTACGAACAGGACTGAGATCATTCTCCTGCTGTTCTCTGACAGCTTGCGTGGTTTGGATTTCGTGCAGTAATGACGTACCTTCGCACTTCTGGTTGGTCTCACTTTGCCGGTGACCTGCGGGACATTTACACTCATAGGAGCCCACGGTGTTAATGCAGTTTCCTCCAGCGCATAGTCCTGGGATGGCCTGACACTCGTCCACATCTAACAAAAAGAGAAACAGAGCATAAGCAAACACATTCGGCCCGTATCTGTAGTTTGAACACAACTTGACCAGACACAATATCCCATAAATGCAATGCACTCGACTTGCAACACATAAATAAATTAAATAAAATTTACAAATAACACGGAAGCATTAATCCATGTTTTGAGCTCCATCATTTCATATTATTCGACCATATTATTATTACATTAAAAATGTAAAATAATGGCATTTTTCTTAGCAAAAAGTCTTATTTTTAAAATAGCATGACTTTTTGTGTAAATTGTTCTTGTACAACACATTAAATCATTGATCTTTATTTCAAATACACCAGACATAAGTTTAATTTCTAGGATTTGAGCATCTTTTCATGTGGCAAACAAAGCACTGAATTTTTTTCAGAGGGCACATGGAAATCCTGGCACAATCCAAGCTGCAAAAGAAAACCGGCTTTGTTCGGAAAGGAAACACTAATTTCTACTACAACAGCAGCGTCTAAAGCTCTTAAATTGAGATCCAAAAGGTCACTTTACATCTTTGAGAGGGTAAAACACATGTATATCATCTTTGTTAGTCTGGGCATTTTCTTATGGTCTGAACTCAGACTTCATAACACAACTACAGATCTTTGGTATTGTCTGGGTTGGATGACGCTTACATATCTGGCTAACACTGCGTTTATCTGTCTCTTTACGTTGATACGCACATGTCCGCAGGCCTTCAATCTGTATCCAATAAGCACCAAATCATTGGTTCTGTCTACTAATATAGGCCTAAAATAAGTTCTTCCATTAAATGCCATGTTGTTTTCATCTGCACTGGTCTAGAACTAAACCTAAACCTATGAAATAGTATATAAAACACTGTGCAGAATCGACAGCATTGAGGCAAAAGAAATTAGTTTACAGACTGAACTGAATATAATGGCATAAATATACTGGATACTGCAAAATAATACATGATTCCCATGAAAATTGTTTCGCTTTAGCCCATTGCTAAGGAAAAATTGTAGCTGACCGAGAAAAAAAAGCCTCTCCCAACCAGCTGTGGATTGAATAAACATGCAAGTGTTAATCATGCTATAGTAACCTCATCTAATGAATATTCATGACCTAAGCGACTAAGGTTTATAATGTGTAACAGGCCTTGAGAACAGAATTAAATCATGTCCAACTGTGTCCCTGAAAATCAAACAAGCAGTCCAAACAATACGCCCATAATTATAAATAAATGTGACAAGCCATTATGTAATCCCATTTAAAACACTCCCAGTGGAAGTCATCTAAATATTTGACTCTACTAAGAAACACAGTGGGGAAGTGTCCTCTTGGACAGGGACTGGAGTGGTATGGTTTACCCTAAACAGGCCATGACCTCTCTTAGTGTCATCTGCCGCGTCAGGCTAGTCATTAGGGCAAGAATTCGCCAAACATGTGAGCCAGACACTGAGAAGGAAAGAACTATTTTTTCAGATGCTAGCAGGAATGTTGACGCTCATTCTTACCTTGGCAAGCACCAGTGCGGATGTTGGGTATGAAACCTCTTCGGCAAGGGTGGGGTTGGGCAGGGCACATCTCACATGGGTGACCCCATGCTCGCCCGATGGTTGCACAACACAACGTCTTGGTGCACACAATGCCGCTCAACTGACCTTGGCACATCTGGTTGTTGACTTGTGTGAAGCATGGCCCGGTCCGGTAGTCTGATTTTGGGAGGGATAAAGAGCGTTAGAGAAGTCAATAAGTACATGAAAATAACATTGGTTTTTCATACAGTGAAAAAGCCTTTCAGGGTACAATACCATCTCAAAACCATAAAAACAGCTTAAACTGACCTAAAGTGGTATGCTGGTCTTAGCTGACCTGGTCTGGTTTGGTGGCACTTATTTGACTAGCTGGCCAATTGCTAAACTAGAATAAACCAGCCAAGACCAGCAAGCCAACACAGGCCGACAAAACCTTTCAATAATATGATAAGACAAGCGCTGACAAACATTATGACATGCAACCAAGAAATTACGACCACAAGAAATCACATTTGTGGATAAAGAAAGCAGCAGATTCATATTCTCCATCACGCAGCTGTTTCCCAATCATTCCCATGCTGGAGGTTGGTCTGGGAATACTCTGACAGGGATTCTCTTTCACAGACTTATAATAGGATAACCAGATAATCGCTAAGAAATTGCTGGGTTGCATCGATAATGGCAATTTCCATGACAAACCATCTTGTTTTTGGCTGAGGTCAAAATGTGGGATAGTGGTTCTAGCACTGTTTTGACATTTGGAGATTTGGCTATTAGCTTTGACTTCCTTTGTGCTGGTTGCCAATTGAGTTGACTTAATCACATTAATGATGTTTTGAGCATCAAACAAACCAATTCGACACCGACATAAACTGAGCATTTCAGGATGCAGTCATTTCTGTTTAATAAAACTCAAAGAGATGCCCTGCTGTGCGATATTGCATCTTCCAAGTCTTTGCTAGTGATGTTTTGAAAATGTAATAGAACGAGATCCTGCATTTCTTTGGGGTATAGTGTGAGAGTCAGTTTACTCTAGCGGGATATGAATGACTTCCTGACCCTAGTCGTTCCTTAAAGAAATGAACAAATCTTTCCATATCCTTCATAATATTGCATGCCAAACAAAAGCTAAATCATATATCCATACCCAAGAGGGAGGGAAATGGCACTAAGAAAGTAGTCATGAGGAGAAGACAAAAAAGGAAAAAAGGCCTATGAAGATTTCCCCTTCACGTGTCTTCAAATCCCTTTGCTGTCCCTTCTCCTCGTCCCTCCTGCGCTCCCCTGACCTGACCATTCTTCCTGGACGATTTGAGTCTAGGAATGCAGGTCCTCTCCAAATTGAGGCGAGCATCCTATGCACATCTGGGATTGATTAATTGTGCCTGGTCAGGACTACGGTGGGACAAGCTAAGACCAATATGTGTCTGTGCGTATCCAGTACTCCAATTCATCAGCCTCTCTATATTGCTGCTTTGACTCTTGCTGTGAGTGATGATATTCATATGGATAAAACTTCTGGGGCGTATCTATGAAGTCAGACTTTCTTGATTTGGTAATTTCCCATGTTAGGAGCAAACAAATGCAGTGCTTTAAAAATAGTGTCTATAAGCAGAAACAACCTTGGGACTTCTACTCTGAGATAACTTGCACAACTGACTAGTGGATCACATGAGTATTGAGTCATTTACATAAGGTAAAGTGTGACTTGTTGAAGGGTCGACTAGTTTTCCGGACATATAAGAAGTTGTACAATACCTACACGGACATGGACGTCAAAAGTTGCTCTGCAGTGAAGGACAAGGTTCTGAGAATTCTGGTCTGCCATAAGAACATCCTTGAAGCTGCTCAGGTCTGTCTAACAACCCTTTAATCTGCAATGAAAATGGAGCCCGGGAGTCTGAAGGCTCTGGCCAACATCATTCGGAAGCCATCACGTTTTTCGAACCAGCCAATTTCTGCACAGAACCGTTTGTATGCGCACACGGCCAGAAGAATAAATTCAGTGTAACACGGTAGGTCCACGCTAAAGACTGGACTCCTTTGAGCACTTTAATACAAAAGATCGCAATCTCGTTGCAACAGATCTGCAAGGCAAAAGGGAAACCGGTTAACCGCAATGTCACGTTGGCAAACTTGGCAGCAATGCACAGACCTTGCTTCCCAGAAGCAAGCAGACTCATATTCCGGAGAAGGGGGGATGTGTCTGTGATGCAAACAACATTCGGAAGTCATTTCGCCTTGATTACAGTTCGAGTGGCTTCTCAGATCAAAACCATTCACCTACACCCTATCCTGCCAAACGCTCACTCACCTCTACTTTCCGTTTAGTCACCACAGTGTTTCCCTGCCAGCGACTTCTGCCAACTATTCAGCATACATTATCATGAATCATGAGGCAAGTTGGGGAAAAACTATGCCTCAGAAGGTCGCTGATGTGTGGCATTCACACTTGTCCAAAGATTGAGCAGCAGCATAATTTGGCAGGAGGAATTCCAGCTTTCTTCACACTCCAACGACTTGGCCTGTTTTTATCATCCTCTGTGCTAATGAACCGAAAAGGAGTAGATTGTCATGAAAGACCTTCTAAGAAATGAAAAATCAGCCGTAGAGAAGTTAATCTAGTCTGGAACGTTAAGCTGCGGGGACCAACTGCAGGTGGAAACCCCAAGCACAGCCAAAAACGTGCTCAAAAATCAATGACTGGGAATAGTCGCTCGCTTTGTTGTGACCTATTTCAGTTTAATCAGAGTACGCACCAAGATAAGAAATGTGTTTTCACTTGGGGAGAAGCAGAAGTTCATTCACATAGGTCTGAAGAAAAAAAGGGGGGTAGAAAGGAAACATTAGACGCTCAAGCATTCCTGTGAAAGGCTTTGAAGATTTTCGGACGGACCAACAAACTCTTTTACTGCTCAGTGATTTACAGTACGGCTAAATAAGACCGGCAATCTCTTCACATCTTATCTCTGTCGTACACATCCAACAAGCCATGGTTTCAACACTTTAATGACTCCCAAATGAGCCAGCCCACAATGAGTCCAGCGAGCCTCAGTCCTGTCATTCATTCATTCTCTTGTGGCTACAGGAGGATTAGTCATATTTCATTGCTCGGAAAACCTTTTTCTCTAGAATCCATTGCACCACACAAAAAAGCAATGCCATCTGTGCTAAAACAGTGGTAATTGATGCAACTAAAATTGAATAGTGACCCATGACCTTGCGCAAAGTCAACCCTCAACTGTGAACGAGTATTACGCATACCTTTTTTTGGTGTGGGCCACGGTAAGCGATAACACAGAGCACACGTGGCTAAATGGAAAACGAATTAGATGGGGATAACACCATTCTTATCGTTAACTCGCTTAACTTCTCCTATAAACCGTGCCCGACTCACAGCTGAGCTTGCATTATGTTTGAAAAACGAATTAGATGGGGATAACACCATTCTTATCGTTAACTCGCTTAACTTCCCCTATAAACCGTGCCCGACTCACAGCTGAGCTTGCATTATGTTTGCAGAACTCTTCTTTACTTTATAAAAACGCAAGCCAACTATTATGCTTCAGTCTTTTCAGGATCCAATTTCTTTGTTACTATCTTTTTCTTGGAAGACGGTTCTGGCTTTTTTGAAAGAACCAAATAGAGAGACTGACATCAGGACTTTTCATCTTTTGGAAATTCATCAACTGTGTGAAATCCAGTCACTTGATGATAAACAGGCATGCCTGAGACAGGCTAAATAAAGAGTCTATCTCTGCTCTTTAACTGTGAAATGACTAATTGCTTAGTGTGACGTTTTTACAATCTACAAGCAAGGACCTTGAGGGTAAGTCTGGGGGGTTTCGGAGACGAGAGTCTGGACTGAATGGATCTGGTCGGGTGGCCCAGAATGGAGCTGCCGGTGGGGTAGCTGGTGTCCTGTGGACGGCGCTCCCCAAGTGAAGAGATTGTTTGTACTAGTTCAGGCCTGGCTGTGTATACACAGCTGGGGTCTCCATTTCTTGGAGAACACCCTCCACCACCACCCTTTCTTGTCAGAAAAGTCTACAGCTCCACACAGAATTGTTCCCTTGTCATTTCCACCCTACTTTATCTACTGCCAGATGTCTCCCAAACTTTTCCGCCTCCCTGTGTTGGGTTTTCAAAGGGAACCGGCCTACGATTGCACAAGGGGGATTCGTGAAGGGGTGGGGTCACACAGAGAACCAGACGCAGGGGGGTGGGGTACCAAAAAAGGGCTTAGGTATTCGGTCTAGTGTGCCTGGGGCGCTTCTCTCCCACAATTCACACGGTCTGATGGGAGCTGCCTTTACGGTCCTTTCAGTCTGTCATTTTCTCATAACTCCAGCCAAGAATTTCACCTGTGACAGAACGTCTCGTGCACCCGTGAGGGAGGCTTTCGTCCTTTTTTTCGCCCCAGATAACCTCATTGTTCCTGCTTTGAGAGACGTGGCCACAATGTAAACTGTAGCATTAATTTCACACCAGCTACAGTGAAGGGGGAATCGCACCGCCTCGAAACTAAAGTATTGTAAATTTCCCTTCTGAGCATTTTTGGGTCACATTGACACAGTGTTACCACATTCTTGAAGCAGGCCTGAGACGGTACACAAACCGCCCATCCTCACAGACGTCAACACAATCTGGTCGGGTGGCCCAGAAAGGAGGAAGGTGTCCCGTGGACGGCGCTCTCAGTGTGAAGAGATTGTTTGTACTAGTTCAGGCCTGGCTGTGTATACACAGCTGGGGTCTCCATTTCTTGGAGAACACCCTCCACCACCACCCTTTCTTGTCAGAAAAGTCTACAGCTCCACACAGAATTGTTCCCTTGTCATTTCCACCCTACTTTATCTACTGCCAGATGTCTCCCAAACTTTTCCGCCTCCCTGTGTTGGGTTTTCAAAGGGAACCGGCCTACGATTGCACAAGGGGGATTCGTGAAGGGGTGGGGTCACACAGAGAACCAGACGCAGGGGGGTGGGGTACCAAAAAAGGGCTTAGGTATTCGGTCTAGTGTGCCTGGGGCGCTTCTCTCCCACAATTCACACGGTCTGATGGGAGCTGCCTTTACGGTCCTTTCAGTCTGTCATTTTCTCATAACTCCAGCCAAGAATTTCACCTGTGACAGAACGTCTCGTGCACCCGTGAGGGAGGCTTTCGTCCTTTTTTTCGCCCCAGATAACCTCATTGTTCCTGCTTTGAGAGACGTGGCCACAATGTAAACTGTAGCATTAATTTCACACCAGCTACAGTGAAGGGGGAATCGCACCGCCTCGAAACTAAAGTATTGTAAATTTCCCTTCTGAGCATTTTTGGGTCACATTGACACAGTGTTACCACATTCTTGAAGCAGGCCTGAGACGGTAAACAAACCGCACATCCTCACAGACGTCAACACAATTAAGACTTGAGAAAATATGAACTTTGGAAGCGTAGTGGTGGCTTACCTCTCTCGCACTGCGGTCCAGTAAAACCGTAGACACAGGCACATCTGTTGGGTCCAATACAACGGCCGCCATTTTGACATCCAGTCTCACACACAGCTACAGAAAGCAAAATTGGTAAAATGAGAGAATTTATTTTATTATATTTTATCCTATACTTAAAAAAATGCAAATAGGGTTTTTGAGTTGCTATATGGTTCTTTGGAATGTTTAGAAAGTTCTTGATGCTTCATTAAAAGATTGTGAATTTAAAAAAAAGAAAAAAATTAAAATAATTAAAAAATTTTAATATAAAAATAAAACAAAATTAAAATATTTAGAGAAATATATAGTTGGATTTAAACGCATTCTACGATATTTTGTGTCAGTAAGCCAAACTCTTGTAAAATCATCTATTGTTGTGTGTGTCTGGTCAGGTATGTGGAGATGTCTGGACGCTCTGAAAAGAAAAATTCACTTACGCTGTCCACAGTGCGTTCCTGTGTAGCCTTTCTGACAAGAGCAGGCATCTTCATTACAGACCCCTCCATTCATGCATCTGACGCTGCAGGACTGGACTGTACAGAGACAAGAGAGGTGATTATAATTCATCTAGAGAGCTCAATTGTGCTCAGTATAACAATGGACCATGCTTGCAGCTAAAAGTAACTCCATTATTTGGGAATAACACAAAAAAATCAGTCAGAAACATTCTTATATTACAAAAAAATCATTGATTAATTTCCAGGAATTAGTTCAAACTGCTTTCTAATAAACTTGGCATTGTACACTATGAATATTGTTGCCTCTGTGATGAATTGCGCTAAAAGTGCTGTGGAATTGACTTTTAAACTATTTTAAACACTCAGAAATTGCTAAAATAAATATCACAAATAATTACAGAGAAATAGCAAGTAACACACTGATTTAAACATGAAAATTTAAAGTAGAAAGACTGAAATAGGATCCAATAATCTTTATTTACAACTTCGAAAAATCAAGTAAAAGCAAGTAAAAGTTCCCATGTGGCATTTTTCATGTATTAAAATTAAAATGTTATTTCATGAAAAGCAGTGTGTGAAGCATTTTTTACACTAGATTTTTTACCAGTTTATAGTTCTTGCATGACATTTGTACACTCTTTGATGGAAATGAAGATTCCTGCAGAAATGCATAAATATTGAAAATAATACAAAGCTCCAAAAAAAAAAGATATTTTTTTGCTGTATCACACAGCCTTATATTTTGAATATTGTTATATTATTCAACTTTACATAGGTAACTGTTTGTATGCCCTTACATTGGTGTACATTTCAGCTTACTGTATCTCCCTCTCACTATTTATTTTATTTAGTCATACTTACAGTATGTATTTGAGAAAGACCTTTAATTCTTATACTTCTTATTGTCTTTCCAATATAAGCAACCGCCAATTCGAATTTGTGGTAAGAGCAATTTGACTCAGCCAACAAAAGCCTATTTTCATCCTGATTTTCTACCAGACATTTTTTTGGACAAGTAGATTAACTTTCCGCCAATTTTCACGAAATAGGAATTCTCTTGGCACAGACAGAATCACTTAGTGAAGAATCTTTCAATAGAGTTTGTATATGAAAACATTCTGACATAAGCACAATGAATCATCTCTGATGGGACTCTCGCACCAAGTTTTTCAAAAGACTGATGTTCCCGATCGGTTGCATCAAAACGTTGCTCTCGCCAAACTCTTTCGTTCTGTCTAAACAAAGGCATCGTGCCATTACGCTTCAGCCCAAATATAATTCAAGCTACTACTTATCCCAGACAAAAAATATGTAACAGTTCTTCATTTATTCCTTTCATCTTTGCCTGCCATGATCTAATCCTTTTAAAGAAACTTAAAAAAGAATAAACTAGAATAAAGAATAAAACTAAAAAAGAATAAAAATTTGTCTGTTTTTGTCTGATTTCACATGGATGAGGACTGGCAGCCGAATTAGACGGTCAATTTCTCATTGCCGAATAAATTGACTCTGGTTTTGCAGCTTACGAGACCGAACCCTATGGTTTGGTGCATTTGGGTTTATTTGTCTATGACCGCATATTCCGGGCATTTGCTGAGAAACGGCTGGACGCCACTGGCAGAAAGCAAGTGTAGTAAGAGAAACCTGCGCTAATGCTAAACACCTCATCCAGGAATTACCAACAGTCATTACTTTTCCCAGCACCATCTAAACAAAATCAATCACGTTTTTCTAAGTAAGTCATAAAAACGGCCGGTGCAAGGTTTCACCAGTGGACGTGTGGTCTCAAATTTAACATATCTCAACAAAAAAACACTCCTGGCTTCACATTAGCTAATGATTCAAAGGATGAAACACTATACATTGTCAGAGCGATTTCACAGTTTTTCAGGCCGAATCTCTGCTCAATTTCAACTTTCAACCAAATAAATCGCTGGAAATGTCAAGGAAAAGTTCAAAATAATGACAAGCCCTTCAACCGCAAAGGAAGCAAGCAGGGTAGAGAGAATTATTAAAAAAACACATCTACAGTCAAAGCTGTGCCCTAGCGGTTAAAGTCATTTTATATCCAGTTCCTCCTTTTCTAAACTATGCCTATGAATGAAAGCACCAAAATGGCCAAAAATAAAAAAGAAATGATGAACTAGTCATAACATGTTTTTCATACAGCCCAGGGAGTTTGCTACTAATGTGGGTGACAACTTGAAACCGTAATGACTGAACTCACCTGCGGCCGCACCACAGCTAGGGGCAAGATGACCACTAGAGCAGGTACACATATTTGGCCTTGAGCAAAAGCCATCCCCACACGAGTTCCTACAGATCGCTGGAGAAACAAAAATATTCATGACAGGCATTTTGATCTTTTAGCATACGTACAAATGGATAGTACTCAAGAATAATTAACTGTATGCAGCTTTAGGACATGCCATTTGCATGGGTGCAAAAACATGCTGCTTATTAATAGTTAGTAAGGTAGTTGTTAAGTTTAGGTATGGGGTAGGATTAGGGATGTAGAATATGGTCATGCAGAATATGTGCTTTATATGTGCTAATAAACAGCCAATATGTTAATAATAGGCATGCTAATAAGCAACTAGTTAATAGAGAGAATTGGTCCCTAAACTAAAGTGTTACCCATTTAACCTTAGGCTAACTCGAGGGTACGTCAGGGGGAAATCAGCAACTCTTCAGTTCATTAATCGCTCTTTCTTGGGTCTGACCCCAAGAACTTTAACCACAACACAACCCCCAAGAGATAAAGGCTTAGACTTAAAGGGTTAGTTCACCCAAAAATGAAAATTCTGTCATTAATTACTCACCCTCGTGTTGTTCGAAACCCGTAAGACCTTCGTTCATCTTCGGAACACAATTTAATTTATTTCTGATGAAATCTGAGGGCTCTCTGACCCTCCCATAGACAGTAAGGTAACTACCACGTTCAAGGTCCAGAAAAGTACTGAGATGATCGACAAAGTAGCCCGTGTGACATCAGTGGTTCAACTGTAAAGTTACGAAGCTACGAGAATACATTTTTGCGCAAAGAAAACAAAAATAACTGTGACATCATCACGCCGGATCTGGGTCAGCGCCGGCACCGCGACACACTCGCGTATATGGTACTGTCGTGAACGCGCGTCCACAAGTGACGCAGTAGAGACGAAAATGTGGAAAAAAGTAGTTATTTTTGTTTTCTTTGCGCAAAAAAGTATTCTCGTAGCTTCGTAACTTTACAGTTGAACCACTGATGTCACACGGACTACTTTGTCGATCATCTTGGTACTTTTCTGGACCTTGAACGTGGTAGTTACCTTGCTGTCTATGGGAGGGTCAGAGAGCCCTCATATTTCATCAAAAATATCTTAAATTGTGTTCCGAACA